ATTTAATTAATTAGGTGCATATTATTTTTGGAGAATCAATAAGATTATATGTGTATTTTTAATTATATATTTTATTATATTATTTATATTAGGTTTTTCTCTTATTTAATAAAGTTTTCCTTTATTAATTATAAACAAATGCCTTATTTATAACTCTTTAATATAAAATATTATATGCCATAATATGGAATATTATATATATATTAATTATAGAATCAACTTTTGAAGTATTTATTAGAAAATATAAAGAAATAAGTTTATAGAGGTATTATAATTAAAGATAAGTTCTTAAAATAAGAGCAAGAACATAATTCAAATATTTCTTATTATTAAAAAAGTTTTTTTTTAATATAATAACAAAAAAAAAATTATTTACAAAAGTTTTTTGTAATTTAAGCTATTGAATTCAAGTATTTTTAAGTTTTGTTCTTATTAAAATAATAAGTAAATAGTTATAATCTTTTTAAAAGAAATATAATTAATTTATAAAATTTTATATACTAAATAGTTTAAGAATCTATTTTTAATCATAATTGTATAAGCTAAAAATATAAATATAATAATGAATCTGATGAGGATTAATATATTAATTAAGATTGAATCTTATATAAGCATAAATCAGAATATGAATATACTTACAAAATATTATGTTAATATCTTAGTAAATAGGATAGGTAGTATCAATTATATTAATATTAGTTAATAAAACTGTTTATATACTGATTATTTGTGATTTTTATAATTAAACAATAAAAAACCACATATATATTGCACTTTGGCCTTAAAAAAAAAAAATTAAAAAAAATTAAAACAACAATTATAAAATATATCAATTAATAAATTAATAAAAAAATTTTTAAAATTATTTGATATATACAGTATAATAAGCTTATTAATAAAGTTTTAAATTAATATTAAAATAATATTATCTTATAATAAATTTAATATATGAGTTATAATCTACTTTATTAAATTTATAGTAAATTCAATATTAACTTGATACTGAAATATTATTATTAAGAACTCTATTTATTAGATTACTATCTTAATTTATATATTATAAAAAATTTCTAATAAGCTTAAAAGAAATATGTTCAAATATATCTTTTGATCAATTATTGAAAATATTATCAAATTATTATATATAAACTTATAAAAAATTTTTAAAAAAATATTTGTTTGTATATAATATTACTGAAATATTAAATAAATCGTTTTTATTGTTTATATAAAAAGTATGTGTTCAAAGAACTTTACCTTTAAAAAAGAATGAACATAATAAAATAGATTTACCTTTTTTCAATGAAACAATGATTTAATAAAAAACCATGTATTGAAAAAGTCAAGAAAGTTTTTTTTTATAATCAAGATGTTTTAAATGAAAGGATAAATAGGTAGATTTATAATTTACAACTAAATATACTGTAAATACCGCATATGCTGTACATACTGTATATACTGTATGACTTTTCGTATTTTTTTTGTGATAGAATAATATAGTTCGATGTCATACTTTAAAAAAAAAAAAAAAAATCAGTAATTTAAAAGAAATACAATATCCATTTGTCGCTTATTTTTGTATTAATTAATTTTCTTTCGATTCATGTAGGCGATGGTTTAATAAATAATAAATCTTAATTGATTTTTTCACTTCGGAAATTAGCAATTAGTACTATTTATTTTCTTTTTTAATGCATTAAACAGGAATCCATGCGAATTTAAGTTTTTTTTATTTTTAATGAATTCCAAATTTACACGACAATAAGAAAATTGTCACATAAATGAAGAAAGTTCAACACTAACTAAAAAAAAAATAGAAAATGCATTATTATTAGAAAACGAAGTTTCAAAATGATTGATTATTTAACAATAGTCAACAGGCAATTAGTCGAATCAAGTGAAAATAAGGTTTATATAAAAGGACGATCATTATCTCCATAAGTATTATTTGATGTATTACAAATCTATCGGGGAAAATCTCTGCGCATAACATGCTAACATACGATTGATTACGTACTCATTCGTCTCTCAAATAAATATGTGCATCCTCAAAAAAAAAATTTAACTACACTACCACTGAAAACGGCATAACGGTGAAAGATGCCAGCACCAGACCTTCCAAACGAAATTCTCCAACAAATATTTGACAACATCGACAAGTCCTCGTTCAGCACCCTTCACTCAATAATCCTCGTGAATAGGTCTTGGTGTCAAAATGGTATCTCACGATTATGGGCCCAGCCGTTCAGCATTGTGGTACTCCCCAAGATATTACCAATTATTCCAAGAAACATAATTTCAATTTTTCCAATTTATTTATCGTTCCTTGACAGCGAGACCATAACAGAATTCAAAGCTAATCTTAAAATAACAGACTCGGACTCATCATGCTTTCAAATTTCTAACCTTCAAGCAAAAAGAAAATCCCGTTTTGATCATCCGTTATTTGATTATCCATCATTCCTTCAGCAAATTGATCTGTCGGTATTTCTTTATCACCTGTTCAGTTGGGTAAAAAAGAATTCAAGGTGGAGCAACAAATTCTCGGGAGTTCGAAAATTGGTCAAAGACAACTTTCGCAGAATTCAAAGAAAGGGAAACCAAGGGGAAGAAGTCAAATACGATACCAGCATCGAGATGAGATTAGGAGAACGATTGTTCTTAATGTTCATAAGCAGATCGAAGAATTTCACCAATTTCCGGTACAAATGGACATTGCCAAATTTTGATTATCACGAAGAGATCATGAAAGAATTTTTCTCTTCCGAAGTAGTTACAAATTGGCTATCAAACCTTTCATCACTGGACTTTAACTTTCAGTTAAAATCCTTGATCACCAAATTCACACCGCATTTACAAAATCTTAACTCGTTGTCCTTAAGGTTCCCGGCTGATTACGCAGAAGATGTGTACAACTTGATTAGAGCGCAAAAGAACTTGGAGCATTTGCAAATCTATCTACATATATTCAATAATTATCCGATACCATCGATTTCACCTCTCCCGTGGCGTCTGTCACTATCGCAACATGCGGATACCTTGAAATCATTTAGCATCGACACCTTGCTTTGGGTAAATTTCGACGAGGAAGCTCTAAGGACTTTATTGTTGTGCCGAAAACTGGAATCCCTAAAGTTACTAAAGCTACAACTTCCCAAAGAAAGGTTAATCTTGTTTAAAGATTCTTGCTTCACGATGCTTACGGAATTACATTTGGAATTTTCGCATTTTCAAAATTACGGCGATTATCTACAATATCTTACACATTTGTTTGACCATTGCCGTAACACTTTGGAAATTTTGAAAATCAAGATGACGGTTAGGAGCAGCATACACCATCTCATTGATCATATAGCGATAAATTGTGATAATCTAATGGAGCTTTCCATATCTGTTGGAACCGAAGAGGAAATGTGGAGTGTCCTAAAGCTTGTGAAAATGCGTAATAAGATCAGAAAATTAGAGATACATAAGTTGCTCTATTTTGATTGCAGGGTCGATGCTTATCTAGTGTGTTTCGGCTCCATTTTGAGGGCCGGGACACTCCGATGGTTGGGATTGATGGACATGAAGATCTCGGGGATATACGTGGAATGGTTTTTGAGGACGTGTGCAGCCGGAGGAATAAAGTCGTTGTATTATGAATGTGATGACATGCCGGAGGAAGGTCACAATATGATCGTGGATAATTTGAAGCGTGAAAGTGTGATGAGCAATAGGTGCCTTTATCGAACACATAAAGTTGGCGAGAATGATTTTTGGGTTTATTTGGATCGCATTTAGAAAAATCTTCAGGAAAAAGTTGGCGTTACATGATAACATTGAGAGATTGTGGGAGAAAGAGATGATTTACTTAGCACATTCTTACAATATTAGTCATTTAACACGCTTGACGAATCAAGCGTCATCTTAAGATCAATAAGATCAATAAGAATTAATTGGGATGTGACGTTAAGTCGTCTCACAAGCACGAGTTCATAGACTATGCCGTCTGTAACGACAAGCTTCGCTGTGAGATGATAACGTCATAAAGTATACGAACAACGATATCCGTGGTTTTAGGGGAATAACTTACAGTTTTAGCTGTCATAGATTGTTTAAGAAGTCGCCAACGAATGTTAGTTAGATCAACGTAGAGTTTTGATATAAAAATTAAGGAATCACATAGAACCGCAGACGGACCAAAAGTAATCACGGGTTTCGATCTGAAAGAAAACTTTCATTAAGATGTGGAATGTGAAATTAATATGATTTGTTATTTGTTATTTTCATCGTCTCAACTTGATTAAAAAAGTCGATCCGAAAAAATCAATGATAAGGAATTCTTAAGATCTAATATTATATAGTTGCAAAGATCCAGATTGTTTACCCATAGAGAAAGTTTTAACTGAAATGGAAATGGTGTCTTTATTGTTAATCTTAATTTTAATATTGTCAAATAAATTTCTATCATAACTACAGTATATTTACAGATTTCAAACATTATACAATTTTTTTGAGATGTCAACTATGGTCACAATCGACAAACTAGCTTTCGCTTGAAGTCCACGTCCACTCACTTAACATTAATCAGATAATCGCATACAGGTTAAGAGTACTACTACATAAAGACCCAAGAACAAAGATCTCATGACAGATAAACACAAGTTTGAAAATTTAATTCTATCTTAAATCTTCGATATTTATTTAATCGTTCATTGTCATTTTATTTCTCCATTCTCTTCTTGGATCAGGTTATTAATATGTTCTTGTTGTGAAAAAATTTTTTTTCTAAAATATTGCCGTGAGATTGTTATCTATGTTGTGTGATGCATCTTTCAAATGAGAATTATTTTTTTTTTCTATTTGCTTAAAGAAACCATGAAGGAAAGTGACTTCAGAATCGATCGTTAATAATAGTACGTGACAGTTATTGTTGGTGATGTGGTTCCATAGACTCGCCATAACATAGACAAACGAGTCCCACGATAGCTCATAAGAAGCGAAGGAACGTGCGATGGTGTGATTAATGTGACTCCCGTATCGTCCAAGTCTCACCATAAGGCCAAGAAAATAAAAAGAAAAAAAAAAGAAAAAAAGATAATGTATAGATTATATATATTGCAAGTCTTAACTTAGAGTAGATCCCCAAACATCCTGACTCTGTTCATGCGTTCGATCCACGCAATCCAATCCATTGATTCAAATCGCAACAACTTCCTCATCTCCTTGGTCGTCTTTAATTTTTCCCAATGCCTCGCCACATAAGCCAGCACTTTTTTCCTCAACTTTTCATTATCTACGAATAAGCCAAATTCTACTATCTCGTCCCAATTGTCCGCGTTCATCATATCACAAAGGCGCGCGACCACCTGATCCTTTAGTCCTTCAATCTCTCTCATGTCTGCTTCGTAAAAGACACCCTTTAATGCCTCCAGTGACAGATCCTCATTCAACCTTGCCGAATAAAGGTAATATATCATGGCACCAAAAGGCTCTGCTTTGGCATTCTTAATTGGAATCGACGTCGCCTTAGACTCCATCCATTCTCCGCTGAATAGTTTTCTAAAATAAGCCGATCGAAGCGCTAGTGCAAATCTATTTGCTGGAATTCTCGTCCCGCAATCGAACACAAATTCCACGTCATTGAACTTGTTATCACCAAAAAATTCTTCCATCGATAATGAAGGTTGACAAATTACTTCGGTGAGGTTGTAGGCTAACACGGAGTTATCGGGCGATGGTTGCTCCTCGTCGAACACGTGGACCCTGACAACCAAAGTGGTTCTGGCAGTGATATCATTACTAGGAAACAGATCCTTGAATGCACAAAATTCTATAATACCCCAACTATCTTCGTCATTGTCCACAGAGAATTTTCGACTTTTTCTGGCCATCCTTGAGAGAAAAGTGAGCTTGTTATCATCGGTCACAGACCCATTCCCGTTACACCTGTATAATTCGATCATATTCGTCGTCGTCCTGGATTTTATGGAATGTTGTACCTCGTAGTCGGTTGAGAAGGCCTTCAGGTAAAGTGACAAAAAATCGGATGTTCCTTTACGTCCCTTTGGATACATTTGAATACGCCAGGCGTGAGTGGGCTTGTCGCATACTTCTTCCTCGTCAAAATAGGTGGGTTCCGGCGAAAAGAATTTGTCACTGAACATGACGTCTCCAACTTTCATACCATAGTGTATTTCTTGAAAGTCTTTTACGATCCACGTGTAAAATACGCTACTCTTATCTTCCGACATGATAATAAGCATATACAGTACAATAAAAATTTTGAAGATTTCCACCTAATCATATTACTTACTATTTATGTATCTTTTACGTGTTTGTGTCACGTAATTATCAAAACGATTAACGTCATGCGAGTCATTCACAGAAGTCTGACCTGTCACTTCATATCAAGCGTACCAGATTTATGTACATCGGAATTTCGAATAATTGGCACGTACAATTCTCATTTCCTTGATAGTGCACTCCGTTTTTAACTATTATGGTATTTGCTAATCTGTATTTGACATGTAGTAGATAACAAACAAAAATTTTTAAAATTTGACACTTTTTTTTGCCATCCTGAAATCCTCGTTTTTTTTATTCCTGTAAAGGAAAATTTTCTTAAATCTTGAAGTTTTAAAGACCGCCGTTTTTCTTTTTCTTCTGTTTGCTCGAGAAAAAAAAAAGGTGGTCTATTCATCATTGTTGTGTGCCTGCAGAATTACTGCTGTGAAACAGAATAAGTTGATTTTTATTGTACATGAGTAAGGCTGGAGAAAGCCCAGGAGGATTCCCGACAAAAAATTCTAGTGAAAAATAGGTAAAACTTATTATGGCAAGATATCAATAAATCTCGAGTCAAGTAGTGCGCATTCGTAAGATAGTTGGAGAGTGCGATATTTGCTTCCTATTTAAATGACAAATTTCGTAACTTTGTTAAGCTCAAAA